TGCCATGCAGTTGATGCTGATTTATAGCAACCTTATAAGACAAGGTAGAGCTGAACTTGTGAGTTTCTGAGACTGTAAACTCTTTATGGAGTAGAAAGCCCTGTCTTTCTCCAACAGAGAGGCTGGTGGTTTCAAACTATGGACTTTGCAGTTAACAGCCTAACCTGTAACCACTATACCACCAGGGCTCCTCCCCATTGTTTATCTGTGGAATGTAAATTAAATTAAAAATATGATACCATTACATACCTGCCAGAATGACTAAAATGAAAAAGACTGGCAAGTCCAAGTGTTGTTGAAGATATGGAACAGCTAAAACTTTCATACACTGGTGGGAGTGTAAATTGGCACAACAATTTTGTAGAGCTCAGTATCCAATAAAACTGAATATGTATATCTGATACGCCGGAAATTCCATTCCTGAGTTTTGGGACATGTTTACAATAACAGCCTCCAATGAATCATGCCTCTTTGGGTCCAGATCCCTTCCCAATGTAATGCTGGCACCTTTCCCATCAAGAAATGGATTTTTAACCCTTTTGAATCTGCAGCTAGCCTTGTGCTTTGCTTTGACCAATGGAATATACAACCTCAGTGACTTAAAGAGTTTTTGCAGTTTCTGCCTTCGGCATCTTGGGACCCAGCTGCTGTGTAAAGACACCCTGCTGCACAGACAGGCTACATGAACAGAACTTAGGAGTCCAAGTTGAGACAACATCATTGTTTCAGAAATGTGAGTAAAGACCATTTGGGATCAGTTCAATTGACTCCACATAGGGCAGAAAAAAGCCATCCTGACCAGTCCTGTTCAAATTTCTGACACACAGAATAACAAGCAAGAAAACAGCTCTTGTCTTAACTCACCAAATTCGGTTAACTATGCAGTAATAGATAACTGAGAAATCAGTACACAGCAAAAGAAATGGGTACATGTGTTCATCAGAAAGAACAAGTACAAGAATGTACATAGCAGCACGATTTAAATTGCTCAACTGGAAACAACCCAAATGTCCATTAACAATAGAATGGATAAATGATGGTATCTTTTTAAAATTGGAATACTAATCAGCAACAAGAATGGCCAAATTCTGACAACATGGATGACTCTGACAATTATAAAGTTGAGCCAAAGAAACCAGACTCGAAAGGGCTATATAGCATATGCTTCCAATTATACAAAGAAGTTCAAACACAAGTAAAATAAGCCTAAGTTGTGTTGTGTTGTTATTGTTGTCGGGTGCCAATGAGTCTATTTCAACTCACAGTGACTACAGGTGACAGAGTAAGATTTCCATAAAATATTTTTCTTTAAGATTTTCTAGGTTGAAATCTTTATGGAAAGGAAATCTGGTGGCACTGCTGAGTAATTGTTGGACTTCTAACCTCAAGGTCAGAGGTTCAAACTCACTAACCACTCCATTCGAGAAAGAGAGGCTATTTGCTTCCATAAAGATTTAAAGCCCCAGAAACCCTATACAGGATCACTATGAGTCAGAATAACATCGATGGCAGTGGGTTTTCATCTTCATGGAAGCAGATTACCAGGTCTCTATCCTTCAGAGAAGCTGTTGTTGATAGATGCCATCATGTCAGCTCTGATCCATAGTGACCCTATGCACCACAAAATGAAACACTACACGGTCATGCCCCATCCTCACAATTGTTCCTAGGCCTGACACTGATGCAGCTACTGTATCAATCCATTTTTTTAAGGGCCTTCCTCATTTTTGTTGCCACTCCATTTTACCAAACATGATCTTCTCCAGCGACTGGTCTCTCCTGACAACATGTCCAAAGTATGTAAGAAGTCTTGCCATCCTTGCCTCTAAGGAGTACTCTAGTCTTACTTTTTCTAATACAGATTGGTTTGTCATTTTAGCCATCCATGGTACTTTCAATATTCATTTCCAGCACCACAATTCAAATGCATCGATTATTCTACAGTCTTCTTTATTCAATGTCCAACTTTCACATGCATATGATGCAATAGAGAACACTATGGCTTGAGTCCTTAGTGTTGAACATCTTAGTCCTCAGAATAACATCCTTGTTCTTCAATACTCTAAAGAGGTCTTGTGCATCAGATTTCCTAATGCAATACATCTTTTGATCTCTTGACTACTGCTTCCTTGAGAATTGATTATAGATCCAAGTAAGATAAAATCCTTGACAATTTCAACCTTTTCTCCATTTATCATGATGTTACCTATGATCCAGTTGTGAGGATTTGGGTCGTCCTTACATTGAGTTGTAATCCATACTGAAGGCTATAATTCTTGATCTTCATCAGCAAGTGCTTCAAGTCCTCCTTACTTTCAGCAAGGAAGGTTGTGTCATCTGCATATGTCAGGTTGTTATTAAGCCTTCCTCCAATCCTTATGTCAAACTCTTCTTCATATAATCCAGCTGCTCTGATGATTTGCTCAGCATATAGATTGAACAAGTATGGTGAGAGGATACAACACCGACGTACACCTTTCCTGATTTAAAACCATGCAGCATTCCCTTGTTATGTTCTCGCAACTGCCTCTTCGTGCATGTACAAGTTCTGAATGCGCACAATTGAGTGTTCTGGAATTCCCATTCGTCTCAAGGTTACCAAGAGTTTATTATGGTCCATGCAGTCAAATGTCTTTGCATAGTCAATGAAACACAGGTAAACATCTTTCTAGTATTCTCTGCTTTCAGCCAAGATCCATTTGACATCAGCAATGATATCCCTTGTTCCGCATCCTTTTTTGAATCTGGCCTGAACCTCTGGCAGTTCCCTGTCAAAATATTACTGCAATGATTGTTGGATGATCTAAAGCAAACTTTTGTGTGTGATATCATTCTTTAGTTTGAGCATTCTGTTTGGTCACCTTTCTTTGGAATGGGAACAAATATGGATCTCATCCAGTCAGTTGGCCAAGTTGTTGTCTTCCAAATTTCAGAGCAGTTGGGTGGGTTCATACACTCACCTTTCAGAAGTCAGAGAATTAGATAGGCGAGTGGAGAGGCGCTGGGTAGTGACTAGAAGGGGAAAGGAAAGGGCTTCTGTGGCTAGGATATGACATTTCATCCTTGTTCCCTGGGGACATCACATGACTGTGTTTACTTGGGGAAAATTTGTTGAGCCATACACTTACAACTTGTGTACTTTTCTGTAATGTATGTCATACTCCAAGAAACAGTTTAAATAAAAAGATAAAACCACAATCCCCTTCTTTGGTAAACATCTTTTAAAAAATACTGTTAAGTCATCTGTAGGAATTTTCTATATGTATATTATTTAAAATCTAGAGTCTGAGTAAATAGCTCTGGGCTAGAACCCAGCCATCTGTAGCTATGACACTCCGTAAGTGATTCTGATGCACAGTCTAGATGGAAATATTAGGTCATTAGCAGAAAGAGTGCTGTTTCATTTCATCATTATTATATTTCCACCAAAAATATTCTTGCCAAAAAAATCATGAAGCACAAACAACTATTTTTTCAAATTGCAATTATCTAAAAGAGAGAAAATGGCAATGTACCCACTTCCACCCACTCCCCACGCCTCAGGTTTGGCTATTCCACCATTCAGAAAGCTTCTACAGATCATTAAAAGCTATAATTAGTTTCATGCAAATGCACTTAGCTCAAATCATGCCATTAACACACCATTTTTTCACCACACTGAAGGGCATTTATCATATTATTTAAAATATACTCATTGCAATCCATATTTTTATTAGAGCAAATCAATGGTTGGCTCAAATGAAAGTGAAATACATTTTTAAGTCTAACATCTATCTTGGAGATAACAACAAACAGATCTTCATTTGCTGTAAAAATGTAATTATTTGTGATTAATTAGAATTTAAACCCATTTGTGAACCACATCTATGTTGTCTAACTTGGATTCAGAATGCAGGAGAGAGAGGGAGGGAGGGAGAGAAGAAGGATGGGATGGAGGGAGAGACAGAAAAACAGAAAAAAAAGAGAAAGAGAGAAGGAGGAGGGGGAGGGAGGGAGACAGCCGGGTGATAATGGCCCCAACTGTGTTAAGTGTAACATTCTCCCCATCCCAACCCACCCCCCAATATGCTACATGAAATAGTTGAGAAGTTTTGAGCACAAATGTTTTGTGGATGAGGAATATGATCTTTACTAAGCTACTGTTGTACATTAATACTCTATGGTTTGGAGAAGGTATTCAATAAATGACCGCTAATGCTGGTTTTTTGAAAAGTGCAAATTTAAAAAAATCATTTATTGGGGGTTCTTACAGTTCTTATAACAAGCCATAAATCAATTGTATCAATCACGCTTGTGCACGTTTGGCACGTAGTTGCCATCATCCTTTTCAATGCAGTTTCTTTCTATTTGAGCCCCTGGTATCAGCTCCTCTTTCTTCCCTCCCTTCCTCACCCTCCCAGCCTTGTGAATGCTTGATAAATTATAATTATTATTTCCATATCTTACACTGTCTGCTGTTTCCATTCACCTTGGTTTCTGTTGTTCATCCCCCTGGGTGTGGGGGGCATACTTAAATCACTGCGATCTGATTGGCCCCTTTTTTCTCCCCCTTCTCCCTACCCTCTTGGCATCACTACTTCCATTATTGTTCCTGAGGGGTTTATCTGCCCTGGATTCTGTGTGTAGAGAGTTCATATCTGTACCAATGTACATGCTTTGTAAGGTACATGATTTGTAAGGTAGAACTGGGGTCATGATAGTGGGGCAGGGGTGGGGGAGCATTAAAGAATTAGGAGAATGTTGTGTGTTTCATCAGTGCTATATTGCACCCTGGCTGGCTCATAAATGAAAAGTGAGAACTTTATGCTGCCAGTTTCATCCGCATCATTCAGAAAAGGGAAAGGCTAGTTGCACTGACCTCACCAGTTGTTCAGTGTCACATGGGGAAGCTAGGTGGGTCTTTTCCATTTCCTCGGGTTCTTTAGACTTTTCATCACTTGATGAGGACAGCTTAATGTATAATGACTTTTTTTTCCAAAAGATTGAACATTCCTACTTACCACGTTCTTTCTCATTTGCTTTTGCATAATTTTCCAACATGAAGGTAAAAAAGCTGGATAGCTGAACAAAATACAAATACAGTAATCAGTTAGTGTCCACCTACCAATTACTGTGGCAAATGCTGAGTGATCCCTCCTAGTTCCCTTCACCCACCCACCCCCACCACCAATCTTGGACCAGTTGCTGCTAGTGCTAATGGCTCCCCTCTCCTCTCCTCCAGAGAACTGTTCTTGGAAGTTGGAGACACCCCACCCAGAGTTGTATGGGACATTTGTATCCCCTCCAGGTGACTTCCCATAGCAATGCCTGACAAGGGCAAAGCTGTAACAGCCTAGCTATTCCCCTGCTGCCACTCTATTATCACTCTCAGTGGACTTAGGCTGAAGTCACTCTTCTCCAGAGACCACATTTTTGCCTAACTTCCTGTCCTGCCCTGTCTTGCTTTCTGCATGCCCTTATAGGTTTCCCCTGAGAACTCTCAGACTGTCTCAGACTTCTAGAAAAGTTCTTACAGCAGTGGCTACATTTTGTTCTCTTCTTTTTGAGTTAAGAGATACTCTCTTTTTTAAAATTGTAAATAAGGTGGGAGTTTACATTTGCATCATCCATTTTATATTCAAGAGCTTAAGCTAGTAAACAAATCTCCAATAGTTTACCCTTCATTCACTCCTTGATTTCTCGCCTGTTGCTTTTCCTTTCCTTCCTTGCTCTCCCTGCCTCTAGCCTCAAAAGTCTGTTCCCTTTGATATGAAAGTCTTTTTCTTGTGCGTTTTTAAAAATACTTATTTTCCTTATAACAGTGGTCTCATACAATGGTCTACGGTTCCATTATTGCTTTTCAATGATGCTTACTATTCCATTGTGTATTTGTACCAGACTTTCTTTATGTAGTCTTCTACTGATGGGCATTTAGATTGTTTCCGTTTTCTTGCTATTGTGAACAGGACTCCAAAGAACATGAATGTGCTTGTGCCTGTTCATGTTATGACTCTTACTTCTTTAGGCTATATACACAGGAGATGGATTGCTGGATCCTATGGAATCTCTTTGCTAGTTTTATTGAAATATAATTCACATATCTTATAATAGTTCAATCACCTTTAAAAGATTTTTGCAATTAAAAAATTAATTTAAATGCAATTTAAAACAATCTAAAATGATTCACAACAAGCATTTTAGAACATTTTCTTCTTTCTTGTACTCATTGTTGTTGACTCATTTCCCCCCAACCTCCCCTTAGGAACCTCTATTTCCTAAGCAATTATTAATCCAGTAACTGTCTCTATAGATTCACCTATGCTGTATATTTGATATACAGAAAAGTGTAACAAAACAAAAACAAGAAACAAACAAAAAACTCAACAACAATGAAAAAATTAAAAAGAGAAAAAAAGTTCAATGGAAAGATGACATATAACATATTAAAAACCGGAACAACTTTGAAATGGGCCCAAGGGAGATCAAATGAAAAAGTGTTACATTTTAACTTAACTGCCTCTGCCGTAATTGATTTTTATAATGCTTTCTGTCTGAGAGCAAGGCTATTCCATGCCTGTACAATGGTCAGAGGGGATCCATCAAGATCTTAATTCATGTGGGGACTCTGCCAATGGATTGTGGGCTTTCACTCTCATCCATAACCTTCTGGGAACCAGATAGATGTTCAGAAGATCCTATGGGATTTCTATTCCCAGTTGTTTAAGGTGGCTCCGTATCACTTTCCATCATTGTTGTACATATTTATAGTTCCACCAACAGTGTATGAGGGTTCCAATCTCTCCTCAGCTGCTCCGGCCATTATTATTTTCTGTTTTCTTTTTGTTATTGTTGTTGTTTAACTTGGCAGCCAATGTAGGTGTAAGGTGGTATCTTCTTGTTTTGATTCACATCTCTCAAGTGGCCAGTGATCATGAGCATTTTAAAAGGCTTAAGATATATATGACTTGAAGAGAAACCAGAGTATCGATCATGAGCATTTAAAAAAATACTCTTAAGTGTTGAATATTTGAAAAATAAAGGAAGGAGGAATGTCAAGGGGAAGCCCACGTGCATTCCTCTGACCATCATCTAGGTGCTGCCTCTGTGATCCAATGATCTGTAAAGCCCTGCATTTCTACTACACACCTAACTTCTTGAAGCCTTACCTCCCAGAAGAATGCATACTGAGGGACTTTCTCCATCTGTATGTTTTCTTTAATTGTTGTAAGGTTTGTCAATTAACCATCAATAGACCCCAGACACTATATCTAACTCAGAAGCAACAAAGCCCACATGGAACAACATATCAGCCTGTGTGATCACAAGGTGTCAAACGGATCACTGAAGACAAATGGGTCCATAAGCAAATGTAGCAAAGAAAGCTGATGGTGCCCGGCCATCAAAAAGTATAGCATCTTTGGTCTTAAAGGCTTGAAGGTAATCAAGCGGCCATCAAGCTCAGAAGCAACAAAGCCCACATGGAAGAAGCACACCAGCCTATG